GACACAAATCATGTATAGGTCATGTAAGGACCAGTATTATTTTACAAAATAAGGCATTTGAAATGAAAATAAATACCTATCTCATTCATATTTAACAGTTAAAAATATATATATATATATGTATATATATATATATATATAAAAAGGGGGGCCCTTCCTAGTAGCGTAGCGGGTTAAAGCACAGCACTAAGAAGCTTAAGCCACTTCGGCATGAGTTTGATTCCGGCCTGCCCCGAGGAGATCCACATGGAGTGGCAGACCTCTCCTGACCCGCCCGCTGCTCCCCTCAGCAGTGTACTTGGTCAATCTGCCTGTTCTGCTCCCGGCTCTGTCTCTGGTGAATCCTCTCACCCTCCGCATCTCTGGCCTGTACCCCAGTTCTGTATGAATAAATAAATCTTAAAAAAAAAAAATTAAAAAAAAAATACTTCTTTGAATCCAAAGAAAACCTATGTAATCTCTAAGACTATGTTCTATTTTGTGAAAAGAAGTGAAATTAAGCCTTCTGGGAAGCTCTGGAAGGAAGTCTATGATGAAAACAGGAGTCCTGGACTCTAACCCTCTCTTCAAACTCCAAAGGCCTTGTGACCTTGGAGAGTCACTTACTTTTAAGACTTTTCAGTTTCCTCATGTTAATAATTAAGTCATTGGATTCTTGTTCTGTGTAGTGACAGTAGAATTATAGGAAGATGAGGGTAAGAAAAGACATGCTTAAGAGTGTTTACAAGTCCCTCTGACAGTTAAAGAATTTATAATGAATCTCTGTTCCTTAAAGTTTGACAACTGGCAGAATATATTCTAGATTGTAATTAATGTGAATTTTAGGGAAAAAAATTTAACCAACTCTTTGCAAAATCTAATAATCTGCTTACTTGAACTAAGGACTAACACGTTTGGCATGTTTATTGCTGATGCCGCTTTTATTAAGCCACCACTATGGAGGAAAAAATTAGAGGATAATGAAATTCAATGACAAGTATTTTCCTGGCTAGAGTTTCCAATGTAAACAGATTTTAACAATTGCCTGTAGTGCTTTAACAAAAACCATTAACCTTTTCATCATTCTGCTCACTCACTCACTCCTCACTGCATGGGGCTGATTATTCTTATCTGAGAGAAAATCCTAACTGTATTGATTTTTCATTTCCAATGTGTTTGTTCCTATTTGTGTTGATCGATTCTCAGCCTTCTGGCCAAGATCAAGCATAGTTTCTGTTCTTATTAAATTATTTGAATAAAGAATGCAGACCATAAGAGTGGGCAAAGTCAAGGAACAGGAATCGGGGCAGGATGGAGGCCCCCATGTCACCTGAGAGTAATGGGGCCCAGGACAAAAGTGGTCAGTGAAAATTTCATCACATGGAAGATTGATGACTTTTGTAAATTGCAAGAGTGATTTGAAATCATTTGTCTCTATTACTCTATGTCCCTTGGAACAAAGTGTGTTCTGTATCCTTCTCCTCTTCTTGGGGAGATAACCTGACCTCCATGGGCCTTTGCTATCTCGAGAGCCAGGGACTCCAGGAGTCAGGTGAGAACCCCAGATCTATGACTGCTCTGGTAAAGCTGTTCCTTTTCAGCTCTGCACAGTAACATGTTTCCAGCATCGTTTTCTCTTGCTCCCCCTGCAGCCTCTAGCAGGCTGTGGCTCATTTTCCTTCTTACTCCCAGTACCCTTGGAAGCTACAGAAGTAAGAGAGGCCCTGGCCACTGGACACTCCCTTACCACTCTCCCTTTCTTCTTCCTGAACTTCTAAGCTGCGGGTCTCGGTAGTGCATTCCCCTTCTTGATGTCAAAAGCTAGATCCTGGGCCACTGCCTTTTTTTACTGTAAGATTTTAGCTTCTGATTTATTGTTTTCTTTTTTAAAGTTAAATTATTTATTTATACATACAGAATTGGATACAACTGTGTTGGGGGTGAGAGGATTCACCAGAGACAGAGTGGGGAGCAGAACAGGCAGCTTGATAAAGTACACTGCTGAGGGGGGCAGAAGGCGGGTCAGGAGAGGTCTGCTGCGCCATGTGGGTCCCCTCCCTGGCCGGGGTCCTAGCTCATACTGAAGCAGCTGCAGCCAGCTTGCAGTGCTGCATCTTAACCCGTGTGCCATCAGGGAGAGTCTACTGTTTTATTTTCCAACATTGCTCTAGGCACAATTATTCTATTTACAATGCCCATTAGAATGATTCTTCTAACACAGAGGCCTCTCAGGTCCTGGTCTTCTCCTAGAGATCTTGCTTGACTTAATTCAATAATTCCCCTGCGTTTTGACTACCAGTAACTGCAACCCCTTCATAATATCAGCTCTGTACTCTCCCACATTCTCCAGTATATCCAGCCCTCTCCCTTCACAACCTTGTGTAGACATTCTTTAACCAACGAGTTGCTATCACTCATCCATTCATTCTACCACCTTCTCACTTACAAGCCCTTCTTCTCTTGACTTTGCAGTTGAGTTCTATGGCTAACCATTTCAACTCCTTACAAATAATCTCAGGTCAACCATATTCTCCTCTGACTTACTAAACCTACCAGGCAATTCTCAGAGTTATTCTACATGTGCATTGGCAAGCTGTATTGCCTTGGAAGGTAACATACCATTATGATGATCAGTGATCACTGAAAATCAAGATCCCTGATGACAGGCAGCAGTGCTACCACACCATCAAAACACGGGTCCCACTTCACTCATCCTTTCATCCTCCTAAGTGACCCCTTCACATCTTCTCTGTTTTCCATAATTTCAGTATCTCCTTTTCTACCTTCACTCACAGCAAGATGTCCCTTAGAGATACAATAGATGCATCCAGAAGAGTGTGCTGCCTTAAGTTCCTGACACCTGCTTCTGTCCACAATACTGTCTTTTTGAAGTTGGAAGTTAGGGAATGGGAACAGGTGACCAGTCAGAAACCAGGAGGGCACCCCCAATTCCCAGTAAGGAGTGGAATGTCCAGAATGTGACAGAGTCACATGCTGCTAAAGCACAGAATAAAGCCACTTTCAGGAAGGCAGGCCAGGTAACGTGGGCAAGCCCTGGTCCTTGGTAGCCTAGTGGAACCCCACGGGTACAGCCAGTCAGCAGGAGACACAACTCAGAGGCACTCACAGTCCAAACCTCCCTCCTTCCCCGCTACTGCCTGCCCTCAGCAGCTGTCCAGTCAGGGTCTTCTCTGCTGGAAGAGCTTCCCCGTCCTTTCTACCTACCCATAAATCTCTTGCTTTTCTGTAACATCCATTTTAACAATGAACTCTTTCCTCTCCTAAAACAAGAACTATGAGCCCACCTGGGGTGCTCAGACTCTGTGCCCATTCCAAAATGCCCAATTCATTTTCTCCCATTAGTAGTGATGGGCTGTTCATATTTTCACCAGAAGCAACGACTGTAAGGCATCCCTTCTTGCCTGCTCAAGACCACCACCCCTGCAATTTTGCTCTATTGACACAAGCTATGCAATGGCTATCGTCTGACAGATTCCGGGTAGCTCAGGAAAAGCTCTGAAAAATCAGAATTTCCACTGCTAACTTATGTTATGGTTTCCCTTTTTTGCATAATCATAATATCAAAAAATATTGTAGCAACATCAGTTTGTAACTGGATTGCCTTAGCTCTAAATTGGCTACCTGGCCTGGGCAAAGTACAAGCTGAGCTGCTCGTGGGCAGGAAATTCCTTTGACTGAAGACAAAAGGCAAGCTCTCGGAGAGATAAGACCCGGGTACATTAAGACTCCTGGAAAACTTCTTTGGTCTTTTGACAAAAAGTGATTCTTAAGATAACTCTCAGGGCATAAGAACCCATGGACAATTTCCTAACATTATCAACACAGGTTTTGCTTAATGCATAACTATGTGACTTCTTAATTTATTCTTTTCCTAAAACAATCACTAACTACTCTCTGCTAGTCTTATTTAACCTCTTCCTAAACAAACACTAGCTACTCTCTGCTAACCTTAAGTTAGCCATTGGCTTCTCTTTAGGCTATCACTGACGACTATGCTAACACAATTTATTCCTTCCCTAGGACTCCTAAATCCTTTGCTAACAGCTCATCCTTTCCCAGACCCTGATCCTTTAAAGTCACAGTTAAACATCCGTATACATGAAAGCTATCACAAAGATGTATAGTATAGTGTGCCATAAAGTAGCAGGAAGAAGATGCATTGTTCCTCTCTTCCTTTAAAACTTTTATGTTGGTTTCTTATTAACTTACCTGATGCATTATTGTAACTAAATCTTGCTAAACAGTATAAATAAAGACCTGCAAAAAGATGAGCAGGAAGACATGCACCCAATCCTGACTCTTGTGTCTTCCTTGCGTCCTCTCCCCCCTCTTGGAATCTCTGCACGCCGACGCCTTCCCATCTTAGGGTCCTGCCTGTCCTGCCTCCAGACACCTCAAAAGTTGGAGCTGGTCTCCAACACTCTGTCGTTTGCATCACTAGTATTTATTCTATCCTGGGAAATGCACAAGGGCAAACGGTCACATGTCTTCAGATGCTCAAGTATGCAGGTCACACAGAAGCAAATTCAGTACCGCTCTTTCATGTATCTTTACATTAATTTTAGGTCTAAAGCAAATTCAGTACCGCTCTTTCATTTATCTTTACATTAATTTTAGGTCTACAATGCTTGCAGGTAGCTATACTCTGGCCAGCATTTAGAACTTTCAATATTTTATAAAAATGAGAAAGTAAAGTATAAAACTCCAAAATGTATCTATATGACTGAACAACCTGCATGGTATCAAGGTAATACATTAATATTCATATAAAAGAACACAACAAGTGAGCTGTGCAACACCACCAAAGAGCCTTTTTTAACGTCACCATCACATTTTGTCACAAGATAGGTAAGGCAATTAGCCACTAACTGTGTCACAAAACCCTTTGTTCAAGTTTTTGTGGGTTTTAGAATTGCTGACAGGGTGGTAATCTTATTTATCAGCAGTTACTCAGAAAACAACTGCTACTTAGCAAAGATTCATACTGGAAAATCACTCACCTCCTCCGCATGTGGCATCACAATCTTCCCAGCCTGTGTGTGTCCACATGAAAAGGGGCTCAGGTGCTTTAGAGCTCTGATTCTCTGGAAGAGGGTCGGATGGGACAGTGTATTCATAGTGCAGACCATAATTCTGGTCTTGAAACAGCAGCACCTACAATCGATAAAAGTGATCAAAACATAAAAGTTGATCAATTCAATGTGAAGCATAAACTAAGGCTGTTCATACCAAACAATGCTTACTCTGTGTCGTGCAACTGTTTACATGTTGGAGTTCTCATGCTTCTGAAAAGACAGGCGCTCAGCCCTTAGCTCTGACCTAAAGACGTCTGGAAGCAAAGCCCATTTGAATGAGGTGGGCTTTTTCTTTTCCAGTCACTGAGCGAGACAGTTTCCAAACACAATGTGTGTATCAGATGACATTCGTAGGGGGACAGGGACATGTGCCCTGTCTAATACCAAGATATGACCTATAATCTAATAGTAAATAAAACTTTTCCTTCATACAAAAAAGGAGAGATGGCTGGTGAGGTCCTGTGTTAGTAGGGAGAGAAGATAGAGGATTGGGAACTCCCTCACAAGGGTAGAAAGCTTACTTCTAGGTCACAGAGAGGACAAGAATTTCTTTCCATGTGTACCTGCAGTAAACTTTGAATTTTGACAATCTACTAGTTTTCCATTTGAGTAAAGATAATTTCATCTGGAAAAGAATATGTTCAAATAATTCACTCAATTACTATAGTTAGATATATGTAAATGAAAGAAAAATCCCCAAATTCATTTTAAATGAAAGGACAAAATAAGTTCATTTTTTGACATTTTACTTTTGACATTTGTCATTTTACAAATGACATTTGACATTTTTTGACATTGGCATGATTAAGTATGGAATTTGATTTTTAAGTTTTCTAGATCTCATTAAATACTATTTAATGCTTAAAAAACCCTCAATTTTAATTTATGCTATATGCTATAGAGAACTCTTCAATAATTAATCTGCATCAATGTTGTAATGTTAGGTAACTCAGAGTTACCACTTTACACACAAGTTTAAATGAGGGTAAGGGTTTGTACATTTTCTATTGTATTTTCATTATATCTTTTACATAAGATTCATTTCAACAGATCAGCTGAAACACTAAGGTATGTTAACATGTACATTCAGGAAAAAGTGCGATGGCATTACCAATAATGAAAATAATGGTTTTTAAATTCTATGCATAACCTACTGGCTACTAGTTCTAAGTACATTACAGTATTTATTTTGGCTTTAACTGTCTCGTGTGATGTTGCCAATTACATGTGATTTCAGTTAAATGAGTTTAAAAAAAAGATTGACTTACCTTGTTTAAAGCCATAACCAAGTGATGACACAGCTTTTATTTTGATGAAATGATCATGTAAATAAGTTATTTACCTCTTATTTAATTAAATAAAAACTTGCCTATATTTCCCCCAGTGAACTACTTTTTCATTGATAGAACTTTAGATTGTCCTTAAATATCTAATGCCATTTGAAATAGAAACATTGGCTAGGAAAATCATTACTCTTTCTTAAACCATTTGAACTTGGCAGTTTTCTTTGCAGGAAGGAAAGTGTAACTGTGTTCCAGTCAAGGGCACACACTGAAGCAACGTAGCAGAAGGTACTTCCAAAATTCAGTACAAGCTTTCAGTCTGTAATAGTCATTAAAGAAAAATATCTTAAAAGTATAGCTTCCTTTGGATCACTGAATAAATCCAGGTCACACAGATGCCTTCTGTAGACATAGTTCACTAGCTTTAATTATGTTTCATGCTTCCAGGAAAAACCTTGGTAATTGCCAGTCAGATTAAGGGTTCTGTGGCTAGGAAACTCCCTCTCCCCGATGCTGAGGTCTCACATAGACTGTTTTAACATTTTGAATTACAGGCTCAGTAGAAGAGGCTAGGTCTTGTCTTATTAAAAAATGTAGTTTACATTCATATCATCAGTCAACCTGATGGCATTTTTTGCGATCCAATAATTAAAAATGTTTGCTGCTGATAAATGTTGCTATAAATAATTCAAATCACAGGAAATGCCAGATATTAGTGAATATTTGTTAGATTATTTTTTTTCCTCTCCAAAATGGTATGTGATACAGAGTGGAGTCTCTAATTCAAATTTAGTAATAGGATCCAAAAAAAGAATCATGGAGCAATGAAAAAGGTAATTATTCAAAATATAAATAAATTTATGGTCCAAGGCTGTTTGGTATAAAACATCTAGGCTTTATATCAGGAAGCACAACATAGGAAACCGATTAACACCTGATTTGTTCCAAGCTAAATAACTTATGGGGAAACACTAAGCATATAGTCTTTCTCACATTTACATAAATAAATAAATCTGTAAAATGGAGTGAAAACTCATATCACAAAGGGTTATTCTGAGAATTAAATGCTGTAGTGACCTTTTGGACCTTATCTGACTCAAAGTGTTTTATGAATAGTATATACTACTATTGCTACTGTTGTTATTATTAAGATTTGGAACAGGAGGTCCTAACACCACTCACATAATTCCCTTTCTTCCTGTTAATCACATAAACATGGCTATTGGAAATGTGATCCATAGAGAAGCAAGCAGTAGTGGCATCCTGAGGTCTGTGTTTCGAATCAGCCCAAGGGATTCAAAATACAGATCTCAGGGTCTATCCTAGACCCAGACAGAGATGCAGGTTTTAAAAGAAGCCCAGGTGATTTCCCTGCAGGTAAAGTAGGCAAATGTGTTAAGCTATGATTTGAACCTCTGGCTCTTCAGACCAGCAATGCATATCTCCAACTGAAGACACCACTTGGCTGATGGTGTTTCAGAGTTGTTTTTGTGTGTGGGCTTAAGGAGGTGTGGAAGTGTTTGCACTTTAGGACATTGCCATTAGGATGGAAAACAAACCACCTGAGCCAGGGCTCAGTCCTTAGCCAAGCACACTGACTGCAAGATCAAGGTCAAAGGGCACGTGGGCCTGCCACCAGCCAGGACACAGAGCCCTAATGTCCTGCTTTTTTATCTAAGCTGTCACGCACACCACTCTTACTGCCTGGTAAAGAAACACATCCCAAACTTTCAAATTTTTATCATTCTTTACAGGAACTAATTAACCTAATAAGAAAATAGAGCAGAGAAACTCAATGCATTGGAACAAATCTTTTCCCAGGGACAGTAATTTTTATCAATAGCATTTTATATAGATCATGCACATTTCATGGATGTATGAAATACTATAAATTCTCTTGGCAGACACCTGGTTTATAAATTTATGCTTATGGGGGAAAGGGCTTCTTAATGCCTGCTCATTTGCCTCTCCTGAGAATCTGTGAATTCCAAACTCCTTAACATATCTTATTCCTTCTGCAATAGTTTCCAATTTTAGCTTCACGATTTAAAACTCCTAAGAAATGCCCTAAACCCATCTTTTAAACAATTTTAAATACCTACCTGATGATTAACATTTTGAAAAGGGTTAGAGGACACATGGGAATGTCTTTTGTCATAGTAACTTGATTACACAATGTATCAATTCATTTCCTCATACCAGCAGGTGTAAAGGTGATGTAGTAGGACCTTTGGCAGAGATCTTCTCCCAGAGGCCTCGTCTGACATAGTGGACTGTAGTTCCTGCTAAGTTGAATGCTCCGGAATGTTCAATCTTCCAGTCACTATTAATAGACTGTTTTCCAGTGTCTCGGAGAGCTATGAAGATTGATAAATAATATGAGAATTAACAAGTCAGCTTCACTGATCAATATCCATTTCACATGTTTTCATTAAAGGCATTGTTTTTTTTATTCTGAACTAATGGGCAGGTACTTTGAGATGTAAAACCTGAAGCATCTCCTTTTGGAGGCTTCCTCAGTCAGCAAGTGCTACAGCTCTCCTGCCCTGAAGTTTGTCACAGGTACAGTGATACTGATCTGTGCCTCCTCCATATTCCTTGGACATTTGATTATGATGCTAAACTATTATGATGCTAAACTATTCATTAATATATTAACGTTTTTAAAAAGATTTACTTATATTTATGCATACAGAGCTGCGGTA